TATATATATATATATATATATATATATATATATATATATATATATATATATATATATATATATATATATATATATATATATATATATATATGTATATGTATATATTTATATATATAAATATACAATTTTTTTTTTTGAAATGTGTTAATAACCAATATAAATAAAGTAGTAGTCAAACAAATTAACTCTGCATATGAAATATTTATTTCTTTTATTGGTACTATTTAAGTTTAATATTTTTTAGCAGTAAAGGCTTTTCAAAAAATCATTTGTAGTTCTATTTTTGCTACCAAAATAATATTTTCCTATTTTTAAGCAGGAAATGATAACATTATTCAACTAGCCATCTTTATAACTATTATAGCCAACTTTTTATTTAATTTTAAACAAATTTTGTGTGTTAAGATGTTTTTCACTAGAAATTAAATTTTTTTGATTTTTGAGTTACAAAAAAGCAAAAAGTTGGAAGAAAAGTTTTATAATTGTGTTTTGTGCACATTGGCAATTATAAACATGGTTATCAAATCTATCTGTTAATTGTCCGGTTCTACAACTAGAAATATGTCCATTTGTACAAAGTCTTAAATTATTAGTTTTTCCTGTGTATGTAGCTTTCATATTGCAAGATAGACATTTTAAATAGTATATTACATTTTTACAATTGCAAGTTATATAGCTCTTTATGTTCCATATGGAACCATTTGATGTTGTAAATGTTTTAACTTCTTGAAGGTGGTTTTTGCATATTTTACAATGGCTAAATTTGCTTCTTTACATTTAAATAATCTTATTTCTTTATCAATTAAATGGAGTTTGGCAGAAGTCAGTATTGTTAACAGATTGGGTGGTTGTTTAAATGCAATTACTGGCTGTATATTGGAAAAAACTTCCTTTACTTTTTCATTTAAAGATAGATTATTAAAAGATTAGTTTGAAAGGAATTATGTCTCTTTTATGTAATAGCAAATAAAATAAAAATATTTATTATAAAGAAACCAATACTGGTGATTACCTAAATTATCACCCTTATCACATAAAAAATAATATATTAGACTACTAAACTTAATAAAGTATGACCAAATGCACTAAAACTGCATAGATATATTTATTGCTGTCATTTGTTTTACTAACACAGCACTTGTTTATATATTACTAATAATATAAAATATTTTTAGATAAAATACTTTTGTGTTAGAGTTTCAATTGTAAGTATTTCGGAGATATTAGTGTAAGTATTTTGGAAATGTTTTCATAAGTATTTGGGAGATATTTGTGTTAGTATTTGAGAAAGAGCATCAATTTTTTACAACAGAAAAAATTAAGTGACTACTGTTTATCTTAAATTTTACTTTAGGTACTATATTATTGATTACAAAGTAAGTATCACTGATGACATTAAACATTATCACATGAGTGTTTCATTACATACTTAAACTAAAGTTTAGGGAGTTTCTATCTATGAAAGTTTAGTGCATAAGATTAATAAACCAGCAAATTAAGTCAAGTAAAATCAGCTTTTCAAAGGTCTTAATTAAGCAATTTTGCTGGTCTTTATTTTGTATTGGCTGAGATGTTAAAGACTTAAAGGTGATGTGGGTGTTCAGTGGATGTCTAATCTTTTCAATGCAATTATTACCTAAAAAAAATCTTAAATAATTTGAAGAAAAGTTGGATGGTAAAGACTTATTAAGAAGGCAGAGACACTAAATTGTGGTTCATACCAAGAAATAATATTGCATGACCAAATAATAAAATTTTTAGAAAGAATTGTTACCAACAAATAAAGAAGAGTACTGAGCAGCAAAATGCAATTTAATTTTTTTAGCCATGAAAAAGAACGACCAATATAATATTTATTGCAATGCAAGTTTAAGAAAGATTTTTGGTTAAGAAAAAAAAATTCTATTCATATGGCATTTTAAATTCTAAATTCATATGGCATTTCTAAACCATATAAAAGCTTTTGTCAGAGTACAAAGAGAGATAGTGTAGTAGGCTTTAAAATATATAGCATCAGTTGACATGGTTATGACTCAAAATATCACAACGTCAAAACAAAAGATAGCTTGGTAATTTTAAAGTAAAGGTTGTTGTGCATCAGAGTTCTCAATCTTAAGGTTTTTATTATTATTTTGAAAACTCCCTAAAGAGTTTAGAGTTTACTATGGGAACTGCTCTATGCAAATGATTCACACATGATTGCAGAGATAGTAAAAAATATTTTTGGCAATTGATTTCATTATTTCTTTAATGAAGGAAAAATAAATAATTCAAGTCCTTATCCAAAAAGATTATTAAATATCAAATGATGTGACTTACATACCAATGTTCCACAATATCAAGAAACCATTAAAACAGTTATAGCAGTTAATTTAATCATGCTAACTAACAATAATATAACTACTAAAAATGGTTTAAAAAATCTAATTTTGCTATTTTGCAAACACATTCATTTTAGAACACAAACATTCTTTTTAGAGGACAAACTTACAATCAAATTGATGGTGAAGCCATGGGTTCTTCACTAGCACCTGTATTTGCCAAATTGTTGATGGGTCATTTTGAAAAAGAATGGATTAAAAATAGTGTAACACCAGTTTTTTATAAACGTTGATATTTTATAAATGTTGATGAAAATTGCACAGCTTTTGATTTAGAAAATGTTTTTTTTAATCTTTTTTTTCTAAAATATCTAATAAATCTTATTTTATTTTTTAATTTCTTTGCAACTAATCCTTTTTCTTAAAATGAACTTTCTAATATGGATGTACCATTAAGTACATATGCAGCTACAGGGGAGCGGAGTTACCCAAAATTATACGCAGCATTCAAGGGAGGGGTTATTCCATATCAAATCACCTTGTTTTTTGAAAGTTCCCCAGGGTACAATCTCAGATTTGCTTTAAACTTTAACCACACACAGATCTTATGAAAAAAATACAATCCAGAAAATTTCAACTTGATTGACCAATTTGTTCAAAAGTCATTATTGAATTAAAAATCACCAAAATCTGAAAAATTTGTGTATCAGGAGCTTACAGCAGTTTTTTTCGATTTTTGACAAACCATAACTTTTTTAATAAAGATGGTGATCACCTGAAATTTTGTAGGGTAATAGTTTTTCACCCAAATAATCCATTATTGCAGTTGTTTTTAACTGATATTTTACAGTTTTTGAGTTATTGTACCTTAAAGTTGCTAAATATTGCAACATTATAAATATTTTTTTGAACTTTAACGTGTTACAGTTTCATACTTACTTAAAGAAAGTGGATTTTTTTGTTACTTTTTTGTACTTAGGGTCACCACTTTTTTTTTTTTTTTTTTTTAACATCTTCACTTCCAACAAGGCTGCAAGCAACCACTATAAGAGTTGGAAGTTACTGGAAGAGAAAAGACTAAATCTGTAGAGCAAGATAACGATTGACTGATGACTTAAAAGATTGCAAATTATATGAATCAGGAAAGCAAGATGAAGGAAGCGAATTCCAAAGAACTGATGTTTGAGGAAAAAAACTAGAAGAATAAGAGTTTTTGAAGCACTTAGGAACAGTCACAGAAAAAGGATGAGACTTAATTGAATGGCGAGTAACACGAGAATGAATTTTAGTAGATGGCACAAGGGACGCTAGCTCTTTAGAGCAGTGCCCATTATAGTATTTGTAGAAAAGAGAAAGAGAAGCAACATTACGACGATGTGACAAAGGTTGGAGATTGGCTGCCAGAGCAGGTCCAACTATGTTTACAATTCGTTTTTGCACCTTGTCTAAAAGAGAAAGAGCATCATTAGAAGATCCGCCCCAGATGTGGCAACAGTATTCCATACAGGGACGGATTTGAGATTTATAGAGATAGAGAATAGAATCTGGAGTAAGAAAGTGTCGAGCTCGTTAAAGAGATGCAACCTTAGCAGATGCTAATTTTGCAATGGATTTGATATACAGTTTAAAAGAAAGATCAGAAGTAAGAGTTAATCCTAAAATCCTTGCTATAATAATAAAAATTATGCATTAAAAATTAATTTAGCACATGCAGCAGCCTATTAAAAAATCCCTTTTTTTTAAAATTATGATAAATTACATCGACTTTGCTGGCATAGAAAGTAGCGTAAACAGTTGAAATAAATTATGAAACTTTTTAATGTTGAGGTTCTATATATAGACAATCACCAAAAAAAATTTAAAGACTTATACTCTATCTTATGACATGATTGTAGCCTTTTGAGAATGATGATATTTTTAAAAGGAGAGTGTTATTAGACTATGAGCTAGCCTTAGGTCATAGTCTAATAATTAGTCATAGGGATGACAGAGTATATTTTTTTATTATCTGTGAATGAATATATTCAGTTTTCTTTTTAATGACATAATGTCCTAATTTGTACAAATAATAATGACATAATCAGTGTCATAATCAGTGTCTGATATTTGTTAGTTTCTTTGAGATTTAATGTTTATGTCTTTTTTAAACTTTTTAGATTAGTAATAGAAATAAAAAAATAGTAAAAAATGACAGAGAAATGTTGTGTGGTGAAACTTTTAAATGAAGATTGTGACAAAACGTATTATTGTAGAATGATTGGAAGAATAAAACTAAAAGATATTGTGAGCACAGATGCTGAAGTTTTAATTCAAAGAATTGGACACACTTTTGAACAAAATGAGGAGATATGTTTTCACCATGAAAAAGCCTATATTTCTAGATATGAAGCGCTTCAAAAATACTGCTGTGATCCGTTTAAAGTCCACAAGAAAAAAATTATTAAGGGATTGTGTAAAGTTGATGATTTAACAGCAAGTCAACTTAAGATCAAACCTGGTCAAAAACTTTGCACTAACTGTTTGAATGAATTCAAACTTGAACAAATTACAGGAAAATTTAGTCAAGAAGATGAAGACAAAGATGTTGATGATGAGGAGTTTAGTTCTTCAGACCTAAATAAGACAGTTTTAAATAAGAGCTTCTTTACTGGAAATATCTCCTCTAAAAAATGTAAGTAAACGTGAAAAATTAGAATATGGAAAGCAAAAAGTTAAAAAAACTGGAAACAAGTATGACAAACCTAGTAGCATCAGCATTAGATATAGACTTAAAAGAAATAATATCTGAGAAAAAGCAAAAGTGCATTAACTGTAATGATTTAGACAAACTTTTAGATGCAATAAAAGAAAAAGTAAAAATCAGTTTGAATGAAGAAAAAGTTCAATTACTAACATTAACTCCTGATAGTTGGTCAATGTAAAAAACTTGCAATGCATTTTCAGTTTCAGACCATCTTGTTAAGAAAGCCAGAAAGCTAAAAAATTAAAAGGGAATACTTGCTAAACCTGAGGCTAAAAAAGGACATCCTTTGGAGGATATTGTTAAGCAGAGAGTCATTGAAATATAAGAATCTGACAAATACACTAGACAATGTCCAGGAAAAAAAAGACTTTGTTTCTGTGCGTATAAATAATATTAAAGTTCATAAACAAAAATGCTTGTTATTAGTTTGTTTAAAAGAACTTCATCTGGAATATAAGAAATTATACCCTGAACACAAAGTTGGATTCAGCAAGTTCTGTGAACTAAGGCCAAAGTGATGCCTTACTGTTGATAGTAGTGGAAGCCACTCAGTTTGTGTATGTTCTTACCATCAAAATGCTAAGTTGATATGCTCTGCTCTTCCTAACAGCCATTTAATAAATTACAAAGATTTAATGAAAGTATGTGTTTGTAATATAGATAGTCGAAACTGCATGTTTTATCTATGTTCCAACTGCCCAGGTAAAATAAATTTGAAGACTTACTTGGAAAATGTGTTTGAAAAGAATGATTTTGATTTAGATTATCAAATCACATATAAACAATAAGTGTCAACTGACCGAACTGCACTTACTACAGTCCAAACAAGCATTAGTGAATTTATTAAAACTTTAAGTGAAACTTTGTATGACCTTTGTCACCACCACTTTATCAAAGAAGCAGTCTTCCTACTTATCAGAGGCAAAACAAACATTAGACCAATATACCTGCATTATTCTGATGGATTTTGCAGAAAACTATAGTTTTCTTGTACAAGATGCTATACAAGGGTTTTACTGGCAAGCCGATCAAGCTACCTTACACCCATTTGTTATTTATTACAAAGATGAAAAAGATCACCTTAAATGTGAATGCTATTGTTTAATTTCTGACCATCTTTGTCATGACCAATCAGCAGTCCATTGTTTTCTCACAAAGTTGCTCCCTATGGTCAAAATCAAACTACCCACAGTGAATAAAGTTAAATACTTCAGTGATGGTGCTGCGTCACAGTATAAAAACTAAAAATGTCTAATAAACTTAATTTATCACATTGTAGATCACTAAATAAATGCTGAGCATCACTTCTTTGCTACGTCACATGGCAAAAGTCCATGTGATGGAATAGGAGGTACTATAAAAAGAGAAGCAGCAAAAGCTAGTCTACGAGCAGCAATTACAAATCAGATTCTCACACCACAAGATCTGTTTACATGGGCTCAAAAAAACATCAAAGGTGTTAACATATTTTATCTTTCAAGTGAGGATTTCAATAACCATGAAACAACTTTTAACCTTCAGAAACGATATGAAGGGATGCGCACAGTTCCAGGAACAAGAAGCTATCACTATTTTGTACCAGATGGAGAGAAATTGTTTTTACGAAGAATCTCTAGTAATACTGTCAATGATAATCATGTGTTAAATGATGTTAATTTGATTTAAAAAAATCCTTCAAATTTTCAACCCGGTAAATATATTGCATGCTTTTACGATGAAGAATACATACTTTTTTATTTAACTGACTATCTTACTCTTTGAATGCACTTTTTTACATATAAAATTTAAGGTAAAAATTTTGTATGTGGTAAGTGGTATTTTCTTGTTCTCCTTTTGAAAATATCATCACTCTCAAAAGGCTACAATCATGTTATAAGATAGAGTATAGGTCTTTAAATTTTTTTTGGTGGTGACCCTAAGTACAAAAAGGTAATACAAAAATCCACTTTCTGTAAGTAAGTATGAAACTGTAACACGTTAAAGGGACTACCAAGTCCTGAGACATGCTGTGTTCATATTAAAGAGAATGTTAAAAAAAAAAGTCTGAGCAAATTTTTTTTGATTAAAACTAATTAATAAATGTATACCAAGAAAAACAAATCTTGTTGTTTTAGTCGAAGCTCGTCTTCTCCATTTTCTGCGGTATTTTTTGTAAAATAAACGCGATTTTCCAGGCGCATTATACAGACTTGATAATTTATTCAAGCGCATTTAATTCATAGGAGTTTGAGAGTATGACGCCATTGGAAACATTCTAGAAATTTTTTAACAATTTTACTATTAAAATTTACTAAAATAGCTAACTATAGTTACTTATTTTATTAAAAGTTAATTTTATTAATTGTTCGTTAGTTTTATACAAATCTAATAAACAATTAATTAAACCAAGCACTAAAAAAAGATATAAAAATTAAGAATATAATTATGTATTGGTTGATGAATTATATCAATGATATAATAGTATAATACAGTAATAGTATAATAGTAATAATAATATAATTCTGACAAAAGGTTAAAATTTACTCAAATGAAATGCTTTATGCTTTTTTTTTTTTTATGGAAAAAGTCAGTTAAACACGGCATATTTTAAAAAAAAGAGTTTAAATTTATAAAACCATGATTTTTTTTTTCTTTTAAAAAAACCCATGGCTTTTAGCTTTTTAAGAAAAAACGTTTTTTTTTAACTCTGGTTTCAAATTAACCTGCAAACGGAAAAATTGCTATTGCTCCACATCCCTGTATGAAGTTAGAAAAGCAAAAGAATTTGACAACTATTGTAAGATCAACATCCCTTAAAACACACGGAAAAGTTCTCTCCAGTTCTATCAAAGGTTTAAGCATAAATGAATCTGGAAACACTTAAACTTTGAAAATTTTTGACTCAAAGCAACTTGTTGTTTCTGTTGGAAAGACTGAGGTTAAGAAACCTTTTCTTTGGATAAATTGAACAACTAAAACTACCAGGTGAGGTTTTGATAGTTAAAAAAAATTTTTTTATAATTTACTTATGAGTTTAAAGCCAATTTTTTAGATAAATTTGTTTTTACTTCTAAATAATCACAATATGATTGAAATAGCACACTTTCTGAGGAGTGAAGGAGGCGGAAAAGTGTAGAATCTGGTTTCCATATTAAGTGACTGAGAACAACAAGCTGATTGGAAAATTATTTTATAATGATAAATTCCCATTTTTATTAGAATTAAATGAAAACCAAGAGGTAAATAATCTATTGCCTAGAATTTTTTTAGATAACTAGAATGCAATTTGTATCATTGATTTTTTATGCAAGCATAGTTAGTAGAAAAAGATACTTCTTTGGTGTATTGCAATGACATTGAAGAGCTTGTAGTAATGATGCTTTTCACAGACATCAAGAAAAAAATAACATTGATATCAAATTAGATTATGATGGAAGGCAAGGATTTCTTAAAGTTACTCTATCAATCATTCTAAAACCAGAGTTAAAATTTTTTCGGCTAAGTTAAACACTTTTTGCTTAAATTACACAGAAGATCTAAAGGTTTTGCTTCAAATGATTTAAAAACAAACTGCATCATCAAAGCATTGTCTGTTTAACATGACCTCATCTCCTAACAATCAAAAAGCTGATCATCGTTCTTTAGAATCTATGTACAGATTATATTACTAATGAATATCTGATGGTACAAAATTGAAACAATAACAAAAATGTGCGCATATATAGTTCAATCCCCTAACAAAAATAAAAAAAGAATAGGGCATGTAAATATTTCCATCCTACAAATACTGTTAGATATTGTAGACAAAATTTTAAAGAAAAAAAAGTTAGTTTGAAAACAAGGAGTGTGGGTTACAGTTTATCAAATGATATCTGTCTCCAATAAACATCTGCAGAGTATCCTATCAAGGGCATTATTGTTTGAAAGGCAATACTTGCAATAAGTTGAAAATAATATCATTTACTTTTAACTACTGTTTAATGTGAAAATTCAAGAAGTCAAACAAATATAACAAACATTGCAAAAAAAAATAATTATTTAAGTAACAGCTGCGCCTCTTGCATCAAGGTAAAATTTAAAAACATGTGTATGGGGATAATTTGCCCCTAAGGATATATTATTAAACGAAAAACTTTGTACTTTTTTATGTCATTTGAACTAGCACTGATTACAAGGAAAAACTTTAACTGTTTTTGATGGACATTACATTCATTTGGATATTAATGTAACTAAGGAAGCCGAAAAGTTAAACATCCATATTGAATTGTGCATTGCAGTCATGAAATTCATCCTCTGCACTAAAGTGCTTTCAAACCATTGAAAACTTACTGGAATGCTGCCCTTGACAAGTTCCAAAGAAACGAAGGTTGCATTATTTAACTACTTTACCCTAAAAATATATATTAGTGATGCCAAAAATAGTGATTTTGCTGAAAACCAATTATACAAGTGGACTCTCCTTCGAATAGCCAAATATTCTGCCGCCAAATATTCGGTAACACTTAGAAAATATTACAGGTGACATTTATCAACTTGAATTAGTAAAGTTAATACCGTAGTAACGCTACATGTAATTAAGCGTATTTGTTTTATTTGCATATTTTGGCATTTTATTTGTGGACTATTTGTTACATCAAACTTTGCTTCTTACAGGTTGTATTTCTTACAACCCGTTATGTAGATACATAATATAACACAAAAAGTGTAATTCTATAGTTTAGAGCATTTAGTGGTAATTGCGTAGTTTGCAGTTTATATTAGTACTAATAAAATATATAATTTGTAATTAACTTTCAAAATTTTGACAATTTAAAAAATATATAAAACATTTTTGTAAACAAATGATAGTTTCAAAGATTTATGGCTTTACAGATGTGGCTCCGAGAGATGTGGCTCCGAGAGATGTGGCTCCAAGAATGAGCCCATAATATTAAATTAATAGTTCATTTGATAATAT